CCTAAACCCTAAACCCTCGCCCGACCTCAATCTGCACCAGGACCGTCAGCATCCCCGGCGAGGCCTCGCTGCCTGCAGCCGCACTACGGTTAGGGTTTAGGGTTTAGGGTTTAGGGTTTAGCCCGGGACCCTACTCGAACCTCGGAAGTGGGCTCTTTCCCCCGGGGGCCCTACGGTTGAAGGAACCTCTTTAAGGAACCCCCCCTTTTAGGGTTTACGGTTTAGGGTTTAGGGTTTAGGGCTTTAGGGTTTTAGGGTTTAGGGTTTAGGGTGGTTGATGGTATAAATCCTGCATCCGGCAGTACCCATAATAAGGACTATACCATAATTCCCACAGCTCAGGGTCCTTATGGTCATGCAGGATTTATGCCATCAACAGTAGTAATTGAGTAGAGTTTAGTATTTAGGGTTTAGGGTTTGATAGTTTGATACGGACTACAAGGGATGACTACTACTGATTCTTCCGATCCCCATATTAGATCGCGCGAAAAGCTTGAGGGATTCCAGAAGCCTTTACGGGATCGTAAGGGTTTCTTAAGGAACTCTACCGGGGGTTGGGCGGTGTTTCTCAGGATTTGTGGCTTTCCGTTCTGGGTATGCTTCTCATAACTACACCGTACTAAGACAAAAAGCATTCTGTTCGTTCACCCTAAACCCTAAACCCTAGACCCTAAACCCTAACCCTAAATCCTATGGATTCGGTCGGGCTTCTTAAAGGAAGTACAACGTCTAGATGAAAGCATTCTATTCAAGAGCTGCCTAGTTGCTCCATGCGAGAGACCCGCCCAGAGTTGTCCACGTCCAAGACCTTGAAAAGCTCCTCCATGCTGTCCACGGAAGCCTCGGCCCCCTTAAAAAGCATATTCTTGTCCCTCCTTAAGAATATGTAGGTTTTAGGCATTAGGCTTTAGTGGATTTTGTTTCTGGGGTTTGGGGTTTAGACTCACTACGATTACAAACTGCCTTCAAGCACTTCCTTAAACAAACCCTAAACCCTAAACCCTAAACCCTAAACCCTAAACCTCTCCCGAGTTTGAGAGGGTTTCATGTGGGTTCATAAGGACTTCAGATGCCCAGAAGCACGATCCAAGATCCGGCGGTTGATGCCAGCAGCCCCGCCTCTACCTTAGTGTCATGAGGCCCATTTTAGGGTTTAGGGTTTAGGGTTTAGGGTTTAACAGAAGAGCATGCGCGAAAATCACGGAATGGCTGCAAAATGGAGGTGTGAAACCAACGTCCATTTCAGTGGAGTGTCAGAAATGACGGGTTAATCGAACGTGGAGGATGCATCCATTTTTTCAGGAGGTGTTATCGAACGTGGATTATTCAGTTATATGTTCACGAGGCATTAGGCCATAGACATGATAGCTGGTAGCGGGAAGCGACGATGAATGGGAAGCCTGCCCTGTGAGCAGTGGCCAGAGTGTCCCTCCTCCTCCGTCTCCCCTTTTTATGGGGAGACTGCAAAATGGACGCAGGATTGGACATCCATTTTTGGGGGGTGTCCGAAAATGGATGTCCAATGGACGTCCATTTCCGGACCCCCACCCAACATCCATTTTACATCGTTTCCCAGGCAAAATGGATGTAAAAATGGATGTTCCTCCATTTTCCGAACCCCCGCCCTAGGAAAATGGATGTAAAATGGATGTTCCGGAATGGATGTTGATTTCCGGCCCCTTGGGAAACATGGGTGTTAAACGGATGTGGCTTCCATACATCCCCGGAAAGTGGATGCCCAATTGGATGTGGCTTTCGCATCAACCCAGGCCAAAATAAGCGGCTTTGTTTGGGTTTGGGACGATGCATGCCTACTCAACGTGGAAATAATTGCTTGGCGTTGCAGGGCCGTTCATGCGAAGCCCTACGTTTGCAACGACCGACACAAAGCAGACAAGGGAACACCGAGGCCACATTCAGTTTTCGAAGATCCATTTCTATACTCCCACATCCATTTCCCTAACACAACCCTAAACCCTAAACCCTAAACCCTAAACACCTCTAGCCAGAATGGGAATCTTAACCTTCTTCTAAGACTCAAAAAGCAGGTCAACCCAGAATTATCTTCTATCTTACAGTTTTGGCTGGGCGTCTTTTTCCTCGCCGGACCTGGAAACCCCATATATTACATATATATATATAACATAGCAAAGTCCCTGAACCCCTAAACCCTAACCCCCTAACCCTTGAAGCCGAAACTTATCAACCCTAAACCCCTAAAAAAAAACCTGAACCCTATACCTTAAAAGCCGCCCAAAGCCCCGAAGCCCTAAACTCTAAGCGACACTAAACAACCCGAAACCCTCAAACCAACAACCCAGAAGCCCCTACAGCCCAAAACCCTAAATTACTAATCCTTAAACGCCTAAACCCTGAACCCTGAACCTAAAAATCCTAAACCCTAAAACCCTAAAACCCTAAAACCCTAAAACCCTAAACCCTAAAACCCTAAACCTAAAAACTCCGAAGCCCTAAAACCCCAAAGCCGGAGCCTCCGAAGCCTTGAGCCCCCGACTCGGCTTATCGAACTCAAGCATCTCCTCGATACCAATCCTCGGTTCACCATCTTAACGGTTCAGGGGTTTAGGGGTTTCAGGGTTTCAGGGTTTAGAGTTTAGGGTTTAGGGGTTAGGGTTTCAGGGTTTGGGGTTTAGGGGTTTCAGGGTTTAGAGTTTAGGGTTTAGCGCGTGGGGGTTAGGGTTTCAGGGTTGAGGGTCCTTAAGTAGGAGGTAGGATTAGGGGGACCCTTGGGGACAGAGACCCTCTCCATAAGGTTCCTGTTAAGAGAGCCAACCAAGGGTAGGGTTGAGAAGGGTCCCCTTTTAGGCATCTCCTCGATACCGATCCTTGGTTCCACAATACCTCCTTACTGCTCAGGGTTTAGGGCTTAGGGTTTAGACGTAGAGCTTAGGGTTTAGACTGTAGGGTTTAGGGCTTAGGCTGTAGGCTTTAGGGCTTAGGCTGTAGGCTTCAGGGTCTAGGGTGTAGGCTTTAGGGTTTAGGGTGCAGGGTCCTTTTTCCAATTGCTCAAGTTTGTGACGAGGAAACCCCAAAACAAACAGCAAAGAGCAAATGAGACTAGAAGCTCGCCATCCCCATCCAAGTCGATCTGATCGAAGATGGCCTTGTGCGCTTTTCTTGGGGTCTGAGGTTTGGGGGTTTGGGTTTGGGGCTTTGGGTTTAGGGCTTCAGGTTCTGGGCTCTTCTTGGTGACCTTTTTCAGTGTTTAGGGTTTCCAAGTCTTCTCCCAAGGCTTTATAGTGGTTTCACAAGCCTTCGATACGGGATCAATGCGTTTTATACGAAATTTTGATGGGGTCGGAGCACGAGGGGTTAGGGTTTAGAGGTTCAGTGGAGGCGTTCCTTAGAAATAGACCGCACCCAACTTCAAGGCTGTCTTTGGGGCTTCAGGATTACACCTCTCACGGGTTCGGGGGCGGCCCAGCGGCCACAATCTGCGGCACCATTTGCTTCGTGGTGATGCTGTCCATCTTCCGCTCCTCCTCACGATCTTGTCGAGCACTCTCGAGTGCCCCTTCCACTAAAACAGCTGTGATCAAGTTCATGAGGGCTATCGACACGATGGCCCCGAGCGGCAGGAAGTAAAAAAGCCTGGGAATACGGCAAGGCATTGTGGGGCTATGAAGCGGTTATAGGCTTTGGGGCAGGTTTTCATAGGGCTTAATGACACCTTGTCAAGTAATTTGTTTACTTATGCATTGCTTCACATGCTTTCCTCATGAAAGTAACTTAAGCTAGCTTCCTCATCAAGAACCAGAAGCAGCAGGGGCTGCTCCAAAGTGAGTGGTGTGTAGACTGCAGCAATGGAGTCCATGGTAACGAACTGCGTCAGCGTCGCCATGGTCATGCCCAGTGAAGAAAAATGGTTTGTGATGATACTGGCTGTCTTGGAGTTAGACAGGAGTTCCGCGTTGCCTGCGATGACCTCGACACCAAGCACGCCGAAGACATAGATGACCAAGCCAAGCAAGGCAAAGGTGGAGCACATGGTCTCACCACAGGTCACCAGCCCATAAACAAGCCGCCAGACCGATCGAATCTGCTTGATCATGCGGAAACTCCGGACCAGTCGAATCAAGCGCAAAAGCCGCAGGATCATGATCGTGTCGGCCGACTCCCCGGTAGAAGCAAGCACTAACTGTTCTGCTATGGCACAGAGCACCAAGGAAAAATCGAAGAGAAACCACCAATCCCTCCAACAAGCCCACTGCTGTGCTATCAAGCGGACAACGATCTCTGCAGTATAGATGATCAGAAAGACTATCTCGGCAGCACCGGCGAACGACAGTTCTTGGCCATTTAAGGCCAACCTGCGTTCTTGTCAAAGAACTCTAAAACCTGTCGGACCCTTTGGTTTTCACGCTTCTCTGGGGGCCTTAACGGGCGATATTCTGCGATAATTATATTGAAGACAATAAGGGTATAGTATCACTGCTTATTCCGACACCCCTCCCCAACATTACGGTAAATCAAGAGCGCAGGCACTGGCTCTCGACGCCCATCAGTGCCGAGTTCAACACGATCGCCACGGAAATGAAACATTCGAACCACACTGCTCCGACGAGACCTGGGTTTTAGGATCGCTGTTGCGGAACTTCCCCATTCTAGATACACACATGTGTGCATATATATATATACATATATACATATATACACATACACGCATATGTATAGACGTACCTATGTGGACATCTATTCTTCTACATATACATACATACATGTATAGGTATGTACACACACATGTGTATAATATATATATATGTGTGTGTGTCAGGAATCTTTGTGTCTAACGTGACGTGTCTCTTGTGCTATTTTGTAGGAAGGCCTTACGCGATAGTGTACAGCACGCACACATACATACATACATACATACATACATACATACATGCATACATACACACAAACATACATACATACAGAGAGAGAGAGAGATACCCTGAAATGAAAACCCATCTACCAAGTTCGTTTCCATGAAGGAAATCACGAATCCAGGAGAATAGCCTTCTACAGCACCTTACAGCATACCCCTTTCTGCAAACCTTGACGAACTGCATATGGAAATCGATAGGTGATACCTTATAGAACACTCCCTACATACCTCATGTATACATGTTTGAATGCCCCATAGCCTATAGAACACTTTACAGAATACCTTCTAGCCTACATTTGCCTTATAGAATAACCCTGTGGAGTACCTTACAGATAAAGCATTTAGATAAGGAAAATCAGGAAAAGCACAAGATCTGAGAATTCCCCTGTTGAGTCGTAATTAATGAGCCACTGCTGCCCACCCGTACAAGATCTTCTGACCAGTCAGGGAATCGCTGTCGAATTGTATGGAGTATACGGTATACGGCTTGTCTGCTACAGGAACATACTTCGATCCTGACATGTGGTGGGGCATCTGGAATATGACTTGTGCAAAGCATTCTTCCGCGCTTCGAAACATCTTGGTAAAGGCAGCAGTTCTACCACAGATTTGACCCTATAATTATTCCGATTTGGAGGATCCTGACCCAGATTAGGGCTAAAATATCCTCGGTTTAAGACGATCCTGACCCAAGCTGCTATGCTATCCATAGAACCCACTCAGTCTAGCCATGAGGTTAACCCTCGGTTTAACCTTCTAAGCATTCCCGATGTGATACCTTCCTGTAGTATAATCCAGGTAGGTAAGTTAACGATACCACACCTAGTGAACATGCATAAATATATATATATATATGTACGTATGTATGCATGCATGTCTGTGTCTGTATAACGTATATGTACTTGTGTACATGTACATATACATGTCCAATGTACGTGTACATGTATATGCGGATGTATATGTATGTGTCGATGTGGATGTATGTGTATGTATGCACTTATATGTAACTAAAATAGTTCGTGTATGTACACACACATACTTAAAGATAGATATATATACATATATGTATATATACATATACATACATGCATAATCATATATATATATGTCGTTGGTACCTAACCTAAGGTCTTTGACAAAGCAGACAAAACCGACCATTGAAGCTCTTCGAACCCTGTATATATAGACCTTAGAGAAATCTCCTTTTACAAAGAAACGTACGAAACCTTCTAACAACCGTTAAAAGCCTGTAAGAACCCGAAGCCCTAAACCCGAAACCCTAAACACTGAACCCTGACCCTAAATTCCCTAAGCTCTCAGATCAGAACCCAGGGACGCTGGCATTGGAGGCGGAACTTCGGCCAGATGCCCTTCTCGATTGCTGGTGAGTTCATCTGGGAGGCGGTGTCCTGCTCGGGTTTGGGGTTTTGGGGTTCAGGAAGTTCGGAGGTTAGCATGTACAGTAGGGTTTAGGGTTTGGGGGTTTAGGGTTCAGGATACCGGGCTTTTGGTTCGGGGGTTTGGGCTGCAGGGTTTAGATGTTAGAGTTCGGGGATTTAGCGTTTAGGGTTCGGGGTTCGGGGTTTAAACCCTAAACCCTAAACGCTAAACCCTTTAGGGTTTGGGGTTCGGGGTTTGGGGCTCGGGGTCTCTATGGCTATGCAAAACAGCGCTTTAAACCCAGTGAATACAACCTGTGGTGTATGTGTATATGTAGACAATATATTATATGTACGTACATACATACATACATACATACATACATATGTATATATAATATATAATAATTATTATGATAATAATAGTAATAATAAGAATAACAACAATAATAATACAGATATACGGATGTACACATACAAAGACATACCTACACTCACTCACTCACTCACTCACTCACTCACTCACTCACTCACTCACTCACTCACTCACACACAGACACTCACTCACTCACTCACTCACTCACTCACTCACTCACTCCTTCATTCATTCCTTCATTCGTTCACTCGCTCACTCATTCACTCAATTCACTTCCATTCCATTTCAATTCATTCCATTCCCTCCATCCACCCATCCATCCATCCATCTATCCATCCATCCAACTATCCATTCACTCTCCATTCATTCATTCACTCACTCATTCATTCATTCCATCCGTCCATGCATCCATCCATCCATGCATCCATCCATCCAGCCAGCCAGCCATCCATCCACGCATCCATTCATTCACTCATTGATGCATTCCTTCATTCCGCCTAACTAGTTAACTGATGCATCCATTCAGCCAGTCATTCATGTGCATACTAGCTTACTGATTTAGGCATACATTTTATATAAATATAAACATATATATATATGTATGCATACATATGTATATGTATATTTATATGTATATGTATATGTATATGTATATGTATATGTATATGTATATGTATATGTATATGTATATGTATATGTATATGTGTGTATATGTGTGTATATGTGTATGTGTATGTATATGTATTTGTATATGCTTATGTATATGTATTGTTACACGTATATGTATATGTATATGTATATGTATATGTATATGCATATGCATATGCATATGCATATGCATATGTATATATACATACATACATACATACATAAATGTAGATGCGAAGTGCTTTAAACTAGGTTCCCTTTTTTGGTGCCCAATGTAGCACGGCACCCTCATAAAAAAAAAAAAAAGTGCCCTAAAAGTGACCCTACTTTAGAGAACCACCCCTCTGAACCCTTATAGGAGTACCCTTATAGAAACCCTATAGAAACCATTCTGGTTCCCTTTAGTCCCTTAAAAGGGGACCCAAGCTTAGAGCATAAAGACAGATCAAAAAGAGCCTCCTAACCCGCAAACCCTAAACCCCTCAAGCGCTAAAGCTCTAAAACCCCAAACCCTGAAACCCTAAACCCCGAACCCCAAAACCCTAAACCCGCTGTCCTGCTCCTTGATCTTCTCTAGAAGCCGGTGGATCTCCGGGTTCGGGACGACGCGGCTGTCACCTCGAAGCGCTCATTTAGGGTTCGGGGTCTAGAGATTAGGGTTTAGGGTTTAGAGCTTAGGGTCTAGGGTTTAGGATTCCGGGATTGGGCTTTAGGGTTTAGAACTTACGATGTAGGGTGCAGGATTTAAAGTCAAGTGTTTGTGATTTAGGACTTGGGCTGTAAGGTTTGGGATTATTTGAGTCTAGGGTGTCGAGAAGTATGAGCTTTTAGAGAATTTTGTCGCGGTGCTTTGATAAGGGCTTGCTTTATACCGTAACTTCCTACAACCTACGATTTGGCTGCACGGTCTTAATGAACAACGAATGTGTTCAAACTCTTACAGCAAGGAAGGGTATGGTAGATTGAAGTAAGTCGCAGAAGCGGAATGTAAAGCCGGCCACGGGATTTAAGACTTGAATTCAATGTGCTGGGTTTAGGGTGGAATTAGGCCCTGAAACCCTCAACCCTAAAGGCCTAAACCTTAATACCGAAAACCCTAAAGCCCCAAAACCCTGAAACCCTGAAACGCTGAAACCCTACACCCTATAGACCCTTTTGCCTATCCCTGAAGGAGTGCTAAGACTGTCACGGCGGTTCTCCAAGTTCTCCGTGGCTTGCGTCACCATTGCCCGCAGGCCTGGATGGTGAGGAGTAGCCCGTTTAGGCTGTGGGGCTTGGGGTTTAGGGTTTAAGGTCTGGGGTTTAGTGTTTAGGGTTTAGGTTAGGGTTTAGGGTTTAGCGATCAGGGCTTAGGGTTCAGGGTATAGGGTTAAGGGTAAAGGGCTAAGTGTTTCGGGTCTGGGGCTTAGGGGTTCAAGTTTTCGGTTTTAGGGTTCAGGGTGTGCTCGAAGGGTCGCGCGCTGAACAGCGCGGTGTAGTGTAAAGACATGCCCACCCCGAGACCACCCATACACAACTTACAACGAGCTAAAACGGAGCCAGCCAAAAAATCCAAGCCAATACCATCAAACAAATTGGACTTCGCAGATACAGTGTGTAAGTAGCAAATTACAGGTCTTCGGGGCCCTGTCAATGAACTGTAAACTCGTAGATGTACGCATCTGCAGACTTTTAAATTGCTTGGCTCCCAAACCCAAACTGGAAAGTACAGTGTTCCCTGGACCTGAAACCCAAAACCCTAAACCGGAAAGCACAGTGTCCACACACCTTCCCCGCGCATCTCGAAAGCCCTTCCAGACTCGCCGGCGTTCGGGTCCTTACTTCGACATGGCAGGTGAAAAAGCTGATGCGGAAAGCTCCGTGTGTGTGTGTGTGTTAGTTAGTTAAGTTCTTGTGCCTATTGAAGGTTTTCACTCAGAGTTGTCTAATCAGGTTTTACTGTAAACAAAGGAAGCAGCTTGCAGCAGAAAACTAAAGTATACCCGCATCCCTAGAAAAATGCTAGCTTATAAAGTGAGCCCTAAGCCGCAAACCCTGAAGCCTAATCAATCCTTGACATCTCCTGTAGCCTCGAAGAATGTGAAGCGAAACCCTCAACCCGAAGCCATGCAATGACTACCTGGAGGATCATGGGACTTATTATAGTAGTAAGGTTCTAAGTAGCTTACTTGAGGTTATAAGTAGCTTTGAATATAGCTACCTTGTTTACAACCCTGCTTGCTAGGTCCA